TAGGGAAACTTTTATAGTATATTTCTGTAATTATGTATATTTCTGTAAATATTCTGTATATTTCTGTATTTCTGTCACTGTGTTGCCTGGTCAAAGTAGACTGCCAGGCATTTATACTACATCCCAAGGTTTTAAGTTTGCAGGTTAAAAAAAGTATTTTTCACGAGCTTCATTATCATCCGGTCCAAATACATTTTTAAACCACTCTACCTTTAAAAATCCTGTTGATGACAATGGGTTTATCTCCATGGATGGAGCCCTTCCCTCCTTCCAGGCTAAATCCTAAGCCAGCAGCTGTCTTTTCTAGAGTTACAGTGTAGACTGTGTCTTCAGTTGCTGAGAAGAAATGGAAGGTAATCAGGGAAGGAATAAATGCTATGAAAAACAGGAGCATATTCCAAAGAATAAACCTCTATTTCAATGTTGTACCAATGAGTCTATGACACACAAATCAAAACAAGGCAAAAATGGCAGCTCTTGATCCTTTGGCTTGAGTTACTGAATGTCTGTACAGAAAGTTACACTGAACTCCTAACAGAATGCAAAGGTGGCAATGGATGTCTGCTTCAGTTTCCTGGAATTACATAAAAATGCTGAGAGTGAATTATTACTTCCATAGTTCATCATTGAGAGAATCATTTAGGCATTCTCATTGTATACCTCGAGCTATATTCAAGCTTCACTCCAGACATGTGTTAAAGGCTGCCCTGGTGTAAATGGGCACCTGGTTGTTCGGGCAGGGCAATTCCATGTGATGCTGTTGGTTGTAGCAAATGGCATTCTTAACCTTGCTAGACCACTGGGCCCTCTAGGTTTAGATTGACTGACCTTCATTTGATCTGATTCTAGTATTAAAACTACTTTTACCTAAAGGGCTAGAAATATAAACTTGGGTATGTAAATGTGATTACAAATCTCTTAAGTTCTACAAGGGAGAAAAAAGAATATTTAGTACTGTGTCCTCACTATGTTTTGCATATAGCCATTGGTTATGGTGGATTACCATACATGATTTACCTAAGCTGAAAACAAAAATCCTGTCAAAATATGTTTGTTACCTAGGAACTTCCAGGGCACTGATAGAAATGATGTTTTGTCATGAAATCGGCCCCCTGAAAGTGCTCTACAGGCATGCCCTGACAGAAGTGCACAGCGGCAGAGCACTTTAAAAGTGCCTGATTGTGTGACAAATTAACCCTCATTACATGGGGGTTCAGATGAAGGCACTCCAAAGTGCATCACCTTCATTAACTTCTGTCAATTCCTGCCTGGGAGCAGGGCTGGGCTGAAGCAGCTAACCCTACCCCTGGTGCTCTCTTCAGGATGGGAGAGGGGAGGAGAGGGGGTGGATTGGAGCCCCACTGGGGACGGGTGGATTCAAGCTCCAATCCACTCACCTCCGCCCCCTCCAGTGAAGGCTGGACAAACCCCAGACCGAGCTCCTTCCCCTTCCTTTTCCCCCTCCCATCCTGACGACAGCACTGGAGCTCAGGTGGGGGTAGGGGGTTAGGGGGTAGGGGAGAGAGGCTGCAGACACAAGGCTGGCTCCAAAGTGCAGCAGAAAGCTGCATGTCTGTCAGTGCCCCTAGTAGTTTTGGGAATAAAAAAATATTATTAGTTATATAAGTACCCATTGGCTTATTAACTATGTTGAATATAAGTACGTGCTTTTAAAATTTAATCTTAAGGAATCCTATTTTTTTGTGCAATTCAGCAATTTATTTATAAATCTGATAATGTTCATCTCCTTTGGCCTTTGTTTACCTCATTTTTTAATCTTGGGTTTTTTTTTACCTCTGTTTATCTTTCTTGACCAACTTCATTTTCTCCCATAGATATTCATTATGATTTTTGTTTATACACAACCAATTGATATCAGTTGAACAACATATTGTTTCAGACCTACTCACTGAATTTTCAAATACTTGCACAACTTTTAACTGTGAGTCTCAGATTTTTGCTGGCCAAATCCTGTGCAGTCCTTAGTAAACAGTAGGAATGTGTGTGTCTGTGTGTGTGTACAAGCACCAGCAGCTGTAAGGCTTCTGTAAATACTCACTTGATTCTGTTGAAGCTTCGCTTGCCATAGAAGAGGTAGTAGAATCAAATGAAACATTAAGACTTTTTTCTTCCTCTTTGGCTTTTCTAGTGACAACAACAGCTTGCTTTGGTTGTCGAGCCTGACGCAAGATTGCCAAGGCATCATTGTGTGTGACACCTTTCAAAGACTTTCCATTAATGGATAATACTTCATCTCCTTTCTGAATAGTTCCTTCCTGAAATGCCAGTCCATTAGGAAACACTCTGTGGACCTGTTGGAAAAGAGAGATAACTAAATCTCACAGTCATAATGTCACATATTGTCAGGCCTTTGCAAGAAAGCAAGTTCCTTTTAAGAATCATGGCTTGCAATGGTTGTACAGAAACCTGTTAAGAAATATGAGATACTGAATAAACTGGAGATGCTATAAGCCATTAGATTTCATTGACTAACTGGCTTAGTATTGTGTCCTGAACCTGTACCATTGAATTCAGAGGGTGTTAGATCAGGGACCACAATGGAAAAGTTCCTAATTAGAGGAAGGAGTCTGAAAAGATGAACCTGACTATTTCCTTCATAATCATAGCTGAATGCTAAAGCCACATTATAGCATGTATTTTGCTTCCAAAGGTATTATGTTTTTAGATTAGTAGACCCTACCTTTACTTGCATGACCATTAGAAATAGGCATCTTTGCTCCCATTTTCTGCCAATATTCCATTTTCTCTTGACCTTCTGCCATAATTTGCCAATTACAAACTTGAAATTCTTTTCCATTTCTGTCATTATGTCTGAATACTACTTAAGAACTACTTTTTAAAAAGAAAGTTTTGAAACGTTAAAGTGGTAAAATTATAGTGTTTTGTTTTTCTTCTGTCACTCAACATTTTTTAAAGCTAGATAAGTTGTTGAAAAGTTTGAGAAGAAAAAGGGAAACATAGGGAAAAGACTGAGGCATTAATCATTTTCTGCTGGGAGGATGGATATATAAGAGGAGGACGGATGTGTAACTACGAGTCTGTTGCCTCAGGTGAAGAGCTTGCCAAAGGCTTGCCACCTTGCACAGGGGCTTGTGCCCTGCTCGTTCACCCCTAGTTACAGTACCATGGGAGGCAATTAAAAATATGAATGTTTTATTTTGGTTTGGTTTAAAAGTACTTTTGGTTCAAAATTAAATTTGTGTTCAATTTTTCCACTCAAATAATATACTCTGATGGAAAGTTTTATCTGTCCCTGAACATTTTCAAGAGCAGATCAGATTAACATTTGGCTGGGGTGGTTTAGTCAGGGATGATTCTGTCCTGAGCAGGAGCTGGACGAGATGACCTCATGAAGTTCCTGCTTCCCTAGGATCCTGTGTTAATAAACCTAATTTGTATGGTGAGAATTTTCATTTAAGAATCTTTTAGCCTCTGCTTCATAGTATTCTTTCATGTGCAGACAATTGTAATTTCTCTGTCACCTTTCCTAGTCAGAGAAAGATACTACTTACAGTAATAACTTTGTTTTCTAGATCAGCTCCTCCTGCCAAGCTGAATCCAAGACCAGCATCTTCTTCTTTATGCAGGATTGTAACATGAATATCATCAAATTGCTAGGCAAAGAAAAGAACAACACTTAACAGAAAATTAGAAGATTCATATATTTTTTCATATGAATATGTGTTCTGCAAGGGGACTTAGTGGCAAACAGTATTTGGACTGCTAAGACATTTTATTTGTATTTAGTCAGTAGAATATTTCCACCTTGATATTCTAGTTAATGTAATGACATCCTGTTCCCAAGTGTTGCTGCTTCAGCAAATGCGGTAGAAATTAAATTATATTAAATTGTTTAAGTACAATATTTAATAGAACCAGAAAAAAACGTTGGTTCAGTGGTAAGAAGTATGTAGAGTATCTTGCAACTGTGAAATACTACTTTCTTTGTTTGTCTGCAGCTTCCCCAAACTCTTACTGACAGTTTTTGAAAAATTACTTGTAATTCTAGTTTCTATCTTGTTCAAGTTCCTATATTAACAGTAAGCTGAGATGAACTGCTTTAGTCTTGATTGTCCTGTAAGATATCTTAGTATGAAAAAGATTCCTGTTTAATAGCATGAACTGTAAAGCTTTTACAGGTCAGCTGTAACACATTTTTGGTAAAGAAAAAATTGATACATTTCATTTGCCATTGCAGTAACAGTAAGGAGATGATCTAGGCAACAGGATGCTCCGAAGGTTTTACTTTCTGCTGCTCCTCTGATTGGATTGTTTGAGTTTTAACGAGCCACTCAAGCTAAAGTTTTCAAATATACACACTACTTTTGTGTTCCAAAATTTGAGGCAACAGGGGTTTGATTTTCAGCTGTTCTGTGCACCCCAGCTCCAACCACACCCAAC